CCCAATTTCCCCCCCCCCCCCCCCCCCCCCTCTCTCTCTCTTTCACTCTATTGCGAATACACACCTGCGAGAAAGCGAGAACCTATCGATACGTTTGTCGTAACAATCACCGACTTATTTTCATGTTTTTATTCTTCAACGATATTACTATTATAATTGGCGGTGAAGCGACGTGACTTTCCCCGTAATTTTTGCTCTCACAAATTTTTGAACAAGGTCGCAATTACCGTGTTTAATATCACAAGTGCAGCACATACGCCCTTTCGATGCAGAATTTCAGAAATTTTGAATTGAACGGGTTCGTTTTTGCGCGTTTTGGCTGACGGAATTATCACAAATATGAGGGGTTTTTGTGAATAATAGCAAAGGACATTTATGTTCAAGAGTTAAACAATCTTGAAGGTCAAATGGGAGAGAAGACCGAAGTGATCAGGAGGATCAATTTTTTCTTAGGGTCAAATGGAAGAAATAGGCAGAGGGCAAAATTTGACTCTTCACCTGTCACTCCCGTTTGACCCTCAGACCATAGGTTGCAATAGTGACCCTCAGAACACTATTTGACCCTCAAGAACATTTGACTTCATCGTTTTTTGAGTAAAGTGACTTCATCTTCTTCTGAGGCAAAGTGGAATGCCCGGGCAAAGTAGAACGGCTCCGAATTCTGTAGTTTAACGATCAAATAGTCTTGAGGATCAAATGGGAGACAGGTGGAGGGTTCACTCCACTCGTCTCTCCCATTAGACCCTTAAGAACGTTCGACTTTTCATCATTTTTTTTGCGTAATAAATTTTTCCTCGATGTCCTCCGGCTTAATATCACTCTTGAGAATCATCCAAGCCATCGTGGACATACACCCCTTCCATTCTGAACCCCAAGTTCATCGCAAATTACGCCTTTTTCAGCCCACGGCTATGACACGTTTTCATTGTGTCACGAAGTAATGGATAAATCAACAAATCAATAATATATGCTATCAATTAACCCGTACTCCGTTGCGGAATTGTTCCCCGGTATATGTGGCGCTAGAATAATCACAGCATTGTATGAAATAACAGATAATTGTTGGGTGTACGGTTGCATGAAAGCCCTCCATGAATACTCGTGGCAGTGGATTCCTTTATCATACCTACACCCGCGAGTAACAACGGAAACGTGAGAGCTTGGTTTTGACATCTTCCAATTACCGTAAATTATGCTGGATGCTTGGTTATATTGGTCCACTAGACTAAAGGACACTTTTCACTATTGCTTGTTTGCTTCGACGTGTTTGAAATCGTAATGGAGAATTTGTCCTGTCAATGTGGGAAATCAATTCAATAGCAAGAGGCGAAAGCACCACAAGTCGATTTTTCACATCTCGCTAGATGTTAGAATTATCTTGATGACGACTGATTCTAGAGGAAAATATGAAAAGACATTTTTTGTGGGAAATTTCTTCAGCTGTAAAAACGGTCATTTAATGTTTTCACTTAAAACTGATAACTTTTTAGATAAATCCAAAATGTGCAAGAAGAGTTTTCTCGTTTTTCAAAATTTTTACAAAATTTGAAGCAGAGAAAATTCTCATTGTCAAAATTCCACTCAATGATATTGGAAAAAGCATGAAGAATTTGTCCGTAAGTAGTCTTTCACCATAAACAGAGTTATCAATACGAATTGTTTTCGAATTCAATTAAAAATCCTGATGTCAGCAATCCGTGGAAATTCAATTAATCTCATGAAGAAGTCGCGCTTCTTTATCAAACGTTTTGAATAAAAAAATACTTTTCCACCCACGACTGGTCGGTTAAGCGGCCAACTCAACACCTGTTGCTGTTGTTTTCAACCGCTGAATGTCACGGAACCGTCGTCGCGATCACTGAATTACCGCCAAAAATACTGCTAATGAGTCTGGGCCATCGTTTCTCTTCATTCATTTTTTCGTCCAATTATAGTGAAAAAATGAAAAGAAAAAAAAGGAAAAAAAAATTTTCTTCACGTTTCCTTTCACGGTGATTGTCAATGGATAAGACACCGTCGGGGGAATTCCCAGGAGTCGAAGATGCCCCGCCGGACCTCGAGATGGCGCCAGTGAGGTGAAAAATCGCAGAAAGCCCGGGTGAATTGTCATGAGGTCTCAGTATACGCGAAAATAGAAATAAATCGGGAATAACTCGCGGGAAAGGAGAAACAGATATACTGGGGGGATAAGAGGAGACGGAGGCGGTTTCAATCGGATCAATCGGATTTTTTTTTTTGAATCTCGTGGGAATTCGGGGTAATCCAGTTGATCGTAATCTCGATGGGGCGTAAATAGGATGGGAAGTGAGGGGAGATGATTCAACGTGGCAGGAGCAACAGTCGCGGAAAATTGAGGCTCGTTGGAATTATTTTTCTCTCATTTTTAAATGTTTGTTTTTATGTGAGAGCTTCTCGCTTGTTTATGTATTCATTCGTTGCATTCGTTATTATTCATTCGTTTGTTTGTTATTATTTATGGAATATTTTGTAATCTTGAATGGATGATGGGGGGAGTGTGCAGCATTGCGAAGTGGTAGGGAAAAATTAATGTAAAAAAATTCAGATAATTTTTTCTAACTCTATTGGCCAAAAAACGAGGAAGGCTCAAACGTTATTAAGGATCTGATGGGAGAAACGAGTGGAGTCATTCCTTCATTCTTCTCTTCCGTTTGGTCCCTTAGTTTAGTTTAGGGTCAAATGGGAGTGACAAATGAAGAGTGCAATTTTTTTAAGGATCAAACGGGAGAGATCAGCAGAGTGATCAGGAGCGTCAAACGTTCTTAATCGTGTAATAGGACAGACCAGTGGAGTGATCCCTCCGCTCGTCTCTCCCGTTTGACCTTCTTGACCCCTTTATCTGTCTCTCCCATTTACCCCTTAAGAAAGTTTGATGCTCCTTATCACTTGGTAGCTTTGTCACCTGCCACGATCGCCTGATGATGTTGAATAACTCATTCGTTCGATATTCCCCCTCTTTTTAATTATTCATCCCCTATCGACCCACCCCATACCCCATGAAACACACCATTTGTTAGGGCTGCCCACGAGACTAAACCGAGACTAAACTTTGGAGAGACCGTCTGGCTCTGAAAAAACATGAAACTTTTTGGGACTGTCTTAGTCGCGAAACGCATCGTATCGCCTCCTCCAGTGATGACCACAAAAAA